CCAGTCCCAGGGTCTCCAACCTCTGTGTCTCCAGCAGCAGCACCCCCAGAACCAGCACCTCCAGTCCCAGGGTCTCCACCCTCTGTGTCTCCAGCAGCAGCACCCCCAGAGCCAGCACCTCCGGAACTAGCGACTCCAGCACCTCCAGTAGACAAAGGTCCAGCACCACTCCTAGCTCCAGCAGCGCGACGCTGACGGTGACCGTACCAGTCCTGCAGCTGCTGTGGGGTGAGAGGCACACATGGGCGAAGGCAGCTACTCTAAGGAGACCGCGCAACAGCAGACTCAGAACCCTCAGCGCCAGCACCCCCAACTGCTCCAGAACCTCCAGCGTCAGCACCTCCAGGCTCCTCACGCGTAGGCTCAGTACCCGCAGACTCGGCACCCCCAAGCTCAGCACCTCCAGGCTCCTCACGCGCAGGCACAGCACCCTCAGACTCGACACCCCCAAGCTCAGCACCTCCAGGCTCCTCACGCGCAGGCACAGCACCCCCAGACTCCGCACCCCCAGGCTCAGCACCTCTAGGCGCCTCTCGCTCAGGCTCCGCACCCCCAGGCTCAGCACCCCCAGAGACAGCACCCCGAGCAGGACCACCTCCAGCAGGACCTGAGTCACCAGTGACCTCAACAGGCGCAGGTACCGGAGGGTCTACCTGAGAAACACCTGAAGGAGCAGGACCTGGCGCGGGGAGGGGGTCTACCTGGGGAGGACCTGGAGCGAGAAAGAGCGGCGGGGGGGGGCGAGAGGCAGTGCGGTAGGGAAAGAGACGGTAGAAGGGAACAGACTCGTCAAAGGTGACGTCCTGAGACGCAAAGACACGGCGCGAGGTGGGGTCGTAAAACTGCCAGCCAGGCGCGTCAGGAGGAAAACCAAGGAAGACGCAGGGAATGGCGCGAGCAGAGAGCTTGTCCGCGGTGAGATCGCGGACAAAGGCACGAGCACCCCAGACCCGGAAACGCGACGCATCGCCAACCTCCCCCGTCCACAGCAGTGTGGGCGAGGTCTCCGGCAAGGAGACACGGGGCCAGAGGTTGAGCTGATGCGCGGCGTACCGGACCGCGAACGGCCACAGAAAATGGGGAGCCGCCGCATGGATCATGGAGGTACGAGCGACCTCCATGACTAAGCCAATGCGGCGCTCAACAACCCCATTCTGCTGCGGAGAGGCCAGAAGCGTGAACGACTGGGTGATGCCGTGCTCCGCACAGAAGGCTGCCAAGAGGTCAGAGGAGAACTCACCACCTCTGTCAGAGTGCAGGCGCAGGACAGGGAAGTCCCGCTCAAACCGCTCGCGGAGCTGGAGACGCACAGCGCGGATCCAGGGGATCAAAACAGCAGGGACGTCCCCCTTGCTGCGCAAGGGGAAGACCGTGGTGTAACGCGTGTAGTCGTCGACAACCAGCAAAAAGTACCGCTCACGGCCCTGTCCCTGGACGCGGGCTGGGCCCCACACGTCCAGGTGGAGCGTCTGCAGGGGAGCCTCTGTGGGAGGAAACGAGGAGGAGTGAGGAGCGGCGCGCTGCCGCCCCTCGACGCAGGGAATGCAGGGCGGCGCAGGCGAGGGAGGGAGGGCAGGCAGAGACCTGGGAAGCCCAGAGACCAGGGAGCGAGAGTGCATGCTACGAAGGCGAGGAAGGGAGGGGTGACCAAGGCGGTGGTGCCACAGAAGCGTGTCGTGCGACAGGCGGCGGCACTCACACTGGGTAGCTACCTGAGCAGACGCGTACAGCTGAGGAGACAAAGGAGTGTAGCGTGAAACAGTGGTGAGGGTGTACAGACTAGACCCCGGCTCACGAGTGAACGTGGCCAGGTGGCGGCCAGTCTTGGAGCACGTGCAGATCGCCACACGTTGTCCTCCAGGAGTCCAGGTGTCAACCCAGTGATCCTGGAGGACGGCGTTGCTCACCAGGTTCGTAGAGAACGAGGGAACGTGGAGACCTGACAGCTCACCAGACGGGACCGCCGGGCACGGGAGCACAGTCGTGGCTCGTGCATGCACTGAGCCCCCGGAGGGGTCAGCCAGTGAGACAGGGACAGGTGCAGGGAGGGGAGTGACGGTGGTGCTATCGCGAAAGAAACAGCGGGAAGCACCAGAGTCAAGTGTAAACGTGTGCAAGGCCTGAGCCGACTCAGTACCAAGGGGAGCAGACTCACTAGCACCTAGGGCTGCAGCCCTTATACCGGGGTCAATACCAGGGTCAGGCGGCACACACAAGTAGCAGTCACCCTCAGCACTAACAGTCAATGCATACATGGCAGCAAGAATAACATCATAGTCCAGATCAAAGATAGGCACATCACGCCTAAGCAGCTCTGCCCAGTTGGGGAACTCAACAGCATCAGGGTACTTGGCGCGCCAGGCGTCACTAAGCCTAGCGAAACAGCGATACTCAGTATGAGAACCGTTGCAGGGGCGACCCTGGCGGGGGCCAGTACGAATGACATAGGGGCAGCGGTCAGAACCCCGAGACGCCCCACGCCCAGCATACCAGTCATTGAGCTGCTGGGAGGTGAGGGGAGGACGCTGCTGCTGCTGCTGCTGCTGCTGGCCACCAGTGGGGCCACCCTTCTGGCCAGATCCACCCCCACTCCCACCTCCACCGCCACTGCCGCTGCCTCCTCCCCCACCACCGCCGCCGCCGCCTCCACCGCCCCCGGTCCTGCCGCCACCCCACCCACCGCCTCCACCCCCACGTCCACCCCCACCACCTCCACTACCCCCGCCGCCTCCACCACCGCTCCCTCCACCGCCACCTCCGCCACCCCTGCCACCCTTGCCGCCCCTGCCACCGCCGCGCTTCCCACTAGGAGCGGAAGCCGCTGCGACCTTCTCCGCACCGAGGAAGTCGACAGCAGTAGCAGCAGAGGCGTAGGAGGGGTCAAGAGGGGAGGGGGAGCACCCCTCAAAGAGGGGAGTGCGGGGAGTGCCACGAGCAGCACCGACAGCGAGGATGTTCTTCTCTGCTGCGACCAGCTGCTGCTCGAAGTCGTCCAGAGTGATTGCGGTAGGATCCTTGGCAAGGAAGTGATCCCTGACAGAACGAAGAGTGTCAGGGAGGCGGGTGACGAGGATGTAGAGGGTAAAGTACAGCGGGGGGGTGTTCGTGGCGAGGAACTCGTCGGTGAGAGCAGCTCGAAAGCGGGCGTCACTAGTGCGGAGGTGAGTGATAAGGTCGGCAGCAGTGTGAAACGAGGCTAAGTCTGGGAACAGGTAAGGCAGGATGAGACTACCAACGGTGGCTGTGGCCGGGGCGGAATAGCGGGCAACGACAGCATCATACAGCGTCTGAGCAGTCTTAAGCTGGTTGAAATGCGCGCGCTCAGAGATCGGTAGGTGATTGCGAATAACAAGGCGCGCGACTGCATCGCGGAGCTCCCACTGTGCTCGTTCAGGGGCAGGAGCAGTCTCAGCGGGAGTAGGGACAGTGCCGGTCACATAGGCTAGCAGTGATACTCCGTCTGCGACGTCAGTCATAAGGTAAAGGCGAAGATCGCTAAGCCATGTGTCAAACTCGATGGGGCGGCCGTCAGGCTCAAAGGCGAGAACAGTAAGGGTCGCCATGGTTGCAGCGCAGGCAAAAGTAGCAGGTGCAGGCAGCAGGCTCAGGCAGCAGGCAAGCGCACTCCAGGCAGGCAAGCACAAGGCAGGCAGGCGCACTCCAGGCAGGCAAGCGGAAGGCAGGCAGGCGCACTCCAGGAAAGGCAAGCGCGTAAGGCAGGCAAGCGCACTCCAGGCAGGTAAGTGCAAAGCAGGCAGGCGCACTCTAGGCAGGCAAGCGCGTAAGGCAGGCAAGCGCGTAAGGCAGGCAAGCGCACAACTCACGGGCGGCTAAGCGCTCAGGTCGAGGCAGTGGCGCACAGGCAGGGCAGGGCACGCGCGGCTGCGGGCTGTGCGCGGCTGCGGGCTGCGCGCGGCTGCGGGCTGCGCGCGGCAGCGGGCTGCGCGCGGCTGCGGGCTGCGCGTGGCAGCTGGTTGCGCGCGGCGACGGGCTGCGCGTGATTGCGGGCTGCGCGCGGCGACGGGCTGCGCGCGGCTGCGGGCTGCGCGTGGCTACTGGCTGCACGCGGCGGCGGGTCGCGCGTGGCGGCGGGCTGCGCGCGGCGCCGAGCTGCGCGCGGCAGTAGCGAGCACGCGGGCGGCTAAGGCAGCGGGGCGCGCTAAAAAAAAATGCACGCGCGCATGCAGCCGAGGCGCGCGCGGGCAGCAGGCAAGGTAGGCACGTAGGTATAGCTGTAGGGAAAGTAACTCATGAGTAGGTGGGCCCCAATCTTAGGTCCTTAGGACCATTGCTCTGATACCATGTTGAGATAGCTAGGCAAGATGGTGGTTCACTATCGAGAGAAAATTTACAAGTAGGAAAACCCTAAGGGGTTATACCCCACAGAATCTACCCCACTACAGCCTACCAGTAATATAACCCATATAAATATGTTTGACAAGTTCCTGGTGTAAAGCTGCGACATCGTATGATTGTATGCTGTTCCGTAGAACCATGAAATCTACCCTGTGACGAGTTGTCGTTGCAAGGAGTTAGCCAAGCCGTATGTAATATAGTTCATCCAACTTAGTGGTAACACTGCGTATTGCTCGTTCGTATAATTTTACCCGTCCGCAACAACACTTGAACAATTCAATAGTTCTTTTGTATTTATTGAACAAACTTGTACAAACTAGGTCAGGGCTGTTAATTTCGTGAAACCCCTGTGCATAGTTCTCAACCGCGTGCCAAGCGAATACGCTTGAACTCACCAACTTCGAAGTTTGAACTTGTAAGTGCGTTGTCCTACCGCATGCCAACTCAGCTGCCTAACCTAACCCTAACTCACCTGCTGCGCGTTTTGCCACCGCAGGCATTCAAGTTGACACGGCGTTGCGAGATGAGTCTCCTTCAGTCTCGCACCGCGGGCGCTTATATGGGGAGTGCTCTCGGCGCGCGTGATAGGAACAGCAAGAGCAACGCGCGAGAGGGAGAACTCTCAATTTCGCTACAAGGCCGTCATGAGCGGCTCTACTCTCGTCATAGCTGGAGCTATACGCCTGCGTTATGTAGTCATGGTTCCGCGGTGACAGACTATCGTGTGCCAAGATGGATTACTCCGGCCGTGTCCGTTGCGACCACTGCAATAGATCTTTCTCTGATTGCTTCCGACTCGGTAGGCATAGGGCTGGAAAAACACCCTGCAACCCGAACTCTGCAGAGCGTCGGAGCCCTAGAAGAAAAGGAAGCCCGGAATTTATATACATTGTCCCCGCTTCTCTCCCGAAGCGTAGACGAACTGTCGCCAGCAGCAATGGCAACAATGCAGAGTGTGCAGCTACAGCGTGCGCCAGTGATGAGCGCACCGGATCTCCAACAGCGGAGGACGACACGCACGTGTCTGCCGGTGAACCCGTGGCGTCCTCCTCACAGTCTTCGGGCGAAGGCTCAGCAGATGCTGTTCCCACTCCTCACGGTCACAACGCACAGGAGGCTGCAGAAATACCTTCGGTGCCGGATGTTGTACCAATGCATCCCGCATTGGTGAAGCTCCTGACAACCCTCGACTCACTGAACGGTGGAATGGGTCTATCTAACCTTGATAAGAACAGCGTGCTGCAGCTTATAACCAACCCCGAACTGGCGACTGTTTTGATGCAAAAAAACGTCAAGAACTGTCGGGACGTTGAGAAGCTACGTCAGGAGTACCTCGCCGACAGCGGGAGAGGGTACAAGTCCACTACCTTCTATGTCGAGGGCTTTCCTCCACTGATTATGCTGCATCGAGACCCGCTGCGTGTGAGTAGCAGTCTTGGTTTAGACCTAATGGTCTTGGTAATGTTCCGGAAGTTTTACATTGACTTGGGTTGCGCTGGATCTAATACTGCCTGTGTGGTTTTCCCCCTTCACTTCCCTGCATGCAGGCCCTCGCCGACATGTTAAGGCACAAGCACAACAAACCTGGTTTCAGAATGGGACCTAGGCGCGGAGTGGATGGTGAGACAGGGCAGCGCGAGTTTTCGTCAGCAGAAACGGGCACTTGGTGGCAGGCCGCACAGGTGAGACCTTTTCGCGCAATATTGTAGGGGAGAAGTGATGCTGTGAGGCAGGCTGTGATGCTGTGAGGCAGGCTGTGATGCTGTGAGGCAGGCTGTGATGCTGTGAGGCAGGCTGTGATGCTGTGAGGCAGGCTGTGATGCTGTGAGGCAGGCTGTGATGCTGTGAGGCAGGCTGTGATGCTGTGAGGCAGGCTGTGATGCTGTGAGGCAGGCTGTGATGCTGTGAGGCAGGCTGTGATGCTGTGAGGCAGGCTGTGATGCTGTGAGGCAGGCTGTGATGCTGTGAGGCAGGCTGTGATGCTGTGAGGCAGGCTGTGATGCTGTGAGGCAGGCTGTGATGCTGTGAGGCAGGCTGTGATGCTGTGAGGCAGGCTGTGATGCTGTGAGGCAGGCTGTGATGCTGTGAGGCAGGCTGTGATGCTGTAAGGCAGGCTGTGATGCTGTGAGGCAGGCTGTGATGCTGTGAGGCAGGCTGTGATGCTGTGAGGCAGGCTGTGATGCTGTGAGGCAGGCTGTGATGCTGTGAGGCAGGCCGTGATGCTGTGAGGCAGGCCGTGATGCTGTGAGGCAGGCCGTGATGCTGTGAGGCAGGCTGTGATGCTGCGAGGCAGGCTGTCTCCCAGCCCCATCAGCCCCCTGGACCCACCTCGCTCTTCCTCCCCCTCTGCCCCAACCTCTCTACGCACCCTTCCGGATTTCACCCCCCTCTGGCCAAACCCCACCCCTTCCACCCCCCTTCTTTTTCTCCCACGTGCTAATACCCCTTTATTGCACATGGCAGGAGTACGTAGGCCTTGACAAAATAGTTGCTGCCTTGATCTTCTATAGTGATGTTACCCACCTGAGCAACAATGGTCGGAAAAAGGCCCACCCAGTGGTAACGACACTTGGGAACATCGCTCTGCCTAGACGATGGGGAAGGGCTGGCCACGCGCTACTGGCAATCCTCCCAATCCCTCCAGCCAATATGCCGTCGCGGCTGAAGGTGGAGCTTTTCAATGCTTGTGTGGCCAAGCTCTTTGAACCGTTGCTCGCTGTGAAAGAGACGTGAGTGGTTTCATCGGAAGTCGTCCAAAAATATGTCTATCGTTCTACTCCTTTTTCATTCTTTGCCTTTCTTTTCTTCGTCTGACGTGCTACGTTAAACCGTTTCTGTGCAGTGGAGTCATACTTCTGGACTTTGATGGCATTAAGAGGTGTGTGGTGCCACTGCTGTTCGCATGGGCATGTGATTACCCCGAATCTGGAAAGATCACCTGCACGCTTTCGGGTCAGGGCTGTCAGAAGCCCTGCAGCATGTGCTATGTCGACAAGGTATGGTGCATTCTGTGTTTAAAACAGTTGGCTCTGAGCTGCCTTTCCTCGTTGCTGTGCCATGCATCATTGTGCAAGGACGGAAGATCCTGATGTGGGTGCCATGTACACATTGTTTTGCACAGGAGAACCTTTCGTCCGTGCATCTGCCCAACAACGTCCGCACGCGTGCGCAGCAGCAGGCGGTGAGGGATATGGCTGCAGGTGTGCCAGCACGCGCCATTGACAACCCCTTGAAACTGTTCTCGACCTTCGATGTTGACGTGAGTATTGTGGGACCAATCCTAAATTGTTATGGGCCCAACTTGCACGTGTGCAGCAATCTTCTGCGTCAACATGTTGCTGATTGCACCAAACACTCCCCTCTGCTGCATAGTTACCTCCTCTTGCGTACTTGCACTACGGCCGTGATTGCCTGCAGTGTGCGATTTGGAAGTGGGAAGTTGGAGCAGCTCCTTGGGGTAATCCAATTCTTGCGGTGATGGCGGATATCATGCACCAGGCGGACCTAGGCATGCTTGATCACATCATCAAATGCATACGTATTGAACACCCAGCGCTAACTTCGCTCCTCGACGGGTAAGAGTTGCATTAAGCATGCGGGGGTTTCCCGATTGTCACAGTCAAACCACGCCTGTTTGCAAAGGGATACGTATGCCTCATCCCCAAATAAATTCACTATTTTGTGCTGATCAATGGCTGTTTCCTTAGCATCTACAAACTCATGCATTTCCACCATCTGTTGTGTCCAAATTTATCACCCCAACCCCCTTAGTACACCCCCTTAAGCCTCAATTGTTCTCATCTCCACACCCCATGTTGCACGCATGCTTCTTGTGTGCCCTTGCCTGTGCAGTCGCTTGGATGTGCTCATCCTGGCCACACGCATCAACACTTTGCGGTTTCCAAAGACGGGCACATACTTTCGCACTGGGGCACAAGTGGCAGGACCATTTGAGCACCGGTCTGTGATGCAGGTAAATTGGAGAAAAAACGCAAGCAGGCAGGCAGGCAGGCAGGCAGGCTTGCACGCAGCCAGGCACGCAGGCAGAGAAAGCAGGCAGAGAAAGTAGGCAGGCTGGCAGTGCATTCTGCATGGCACCAACGCAGTCACAGAAAGCAGGAAGGTAGGCAGTGCATTCTGCATGGCACCAACGCAGTCACAGAAAGCAGGAAGGTAGGCAGTGCATTCTGCATGGCACCAACGCAGTCACAAAAAGCAGGAAGGTAGGCAGTGCATTCTGCAAGGCCGCAAGGGAGGCAGGGGTTGCAAGCAGAAAAGGCAGCAACGCAGCAATGCGTGTAGAGCACGCAGCAAGGCAGCAAGGGAGGCAGAGAGGGCAAGGATAAAGGAAGCAATGCTGCAATGCGTGCAGAGCATGCAGTCAGGCAAAAAGGAAGGCAGATAGGGCAAGCAGAAAGGCAGCAAAACAGCGAGGTGTGTACAGCATGCAACGAGGCAGCACGGGAGGCAGAGAAAGCAAGCAAAAAGGCAGCAATGCAGCAATGTGGATATGAGCACGCAGCAAGGCAGCAAGGGAGGCAGAGAACGCAAGCAGAAAGGCAGAAATGCAGCAATGCGTGTAGAGCACGGAGCAAGGCAGCAAGGGAGGCAGAGAGGGCAAGGATAAAGGAAGCAATGCAGCAATGCGTGTAGAACATGCGGCAAGGCAGAAAGGAAGGCAGAGTGGGCAAGCAGAAAGGCAGCAAAGCAGCGAGGTGTGTACAGCACGCAACAAGGCAGCAAGGGAGGCAGAGAAAGCAAGCATGCAGCAATGTGTGTAGAGCACGCAGCAAGGCAGCAAGGGAGGCAGAGAAAGCATGCAGGAAGGCAGCAATGCAGCAATGCGTGTAGAGCATGCAGCAAGGCAGCCAGGGAGGCAGAGAACGCAAGCAGAAAGGCAGCATTGCAGCAATGCGTGTTGAGCGCACAGCAAGGCAGAAAGGGAGGAAGAGAAAGCAAGCAGAAAGGAAGCAATGCAGCAATGCGTTAGAAGCACGCAGCAAGGCAGCAAGGGAGGCAGAGAAAGCAAGCAGAAAGGCAGCATTGCAGCAATGCGTGTAGAGCACGCAGCAAGGCAGCCAGGGAGGCAGAGAAAGCAAGCAGAAAGGCAGCAATGCAGCAATGCGTGTAGAGCACGCAGCAAGGCAGCAAGGGAGGCATAGAGGGCAAGGATAAAGGCAGCAATGCAGCGAGGTGTTTAGAGAGCACGCAGCAAGGCAGGCAGTGCAAGCAGGAAGTGAACGAGGTGGTTGGCAGGGCAAGCAGCAAGGCAGCGGCGGAGGCGGAGAAACCAGCAAAGCAGGTAGTGCAAGCAGCAAGGCAGGTAGTGTGTGTCGGCTATGCTAACTATCATGCACACCTTGTGTATTCCTGTTGTCAGGTTTTGATCTTCCTTGTCGCCGACATCCTTGAGGCGCAGCAGCTGGAGGCAATTCGTGCATACCTTGACTGGTACCTCTCATGCAACGCAACCACTCACACCGAGAGGAGCCTTGCTGATCTGCAAAAGAAGTCAGAGAGGTGGGCCCTTATTTTTTTGTATTGAAAGTGGATCCATTAGTGCCTTAACGTTGAAATCAAACGCCTAATGTTGCAATGTCTGTCCTGTTGTTTCATTGTGTTCTCCCTTGTATCCAGGCTGGTAGAACTTCTCGAGAGCTTTCCAGAGCAGGCTTCAGATTGGAACCTCATCAAAACGCATTTGATGACGCACTTCATTCCTGCAATCCGTAGAGCAGGGCATGTGCAGGAGTACAGCACTAACCTTTTTGAACATTTGCATAGTGTTCTGCTAAAACAGATTTACAGGAGATCCAACAAGCGAAATGTGGACGCGCAGATCATGAAGCACCATGAAATGAAGCTGGACAACAGCAGCGATGAGTGCTTGGATCAGGGGCATGAAACTGCAATGCACACGGTAAAAACACAACCATCAGAACACCTTCATTTGTCTGAATGAGTTTTCCT